ATAGGCCTAGTTGCTGTATATAATATATATTGATGCCTACGTTTAATAATAGAGAAAATAGATGTTCTATTTTATCTTTAGTTTATTGAATGATGTTTGGCGAATTCTGGCGTCCATTTGTGTTCCCATGTGATATGTGTGCAGGGAGTTGGTAAATGTTTTTTCGTTCGTCGTCAACTTCTTAGCAGGTAGGCTGCTATTTAACGAAGATAGGTCTTTCCGACAGAGCAAATGGCAATTAGGCCTACATGCATGTGCTGTCATTATCGTCATTACCACTTAATTTAACTATTAGGACTATGCAGCCTTTAAACTTTGAACTTAGTTCATGTCAAAGTAAAAAAAATTTCAAAGTAAAACTTGTTCAGTATTTTAAATTGTACAAAAACGGTAGTTCAACCGGGGCCTGGTCTAACGACACAGACGCGTTTGTCGCCCAAAACAATAGAAACAATGGCAAACGCGTTCAACAGCACAAACCCGTTTAGATGCGTCTGGGACATATTCGGACTAGCTTATTAATATTCATGAGGCACGATAATTAGACGATCGCTTTCCCAGATGCGTTTGTAATACATGGTTTTCCCAGACGCGTTTCTGTCGTTGGGGATAATTTGTAGATCGCGCCTAAATGCCCTTTTTTCATCCCCTGAAAGTGCCTAAAAATCTCAAATTTCTTATCAAAGTAGGTCAATTTCCTCTAAAATCGCATATTTAGGGATTTTGGATCAATTCCGACGAAATTAGAATTAAAAACACCGGGAGACAAGGAGAAAATATCCATCTTCGGAAAATCTTTCCCCACCCCTTGATAAATGCCCTTTTCATCCTCTGAAAGTGCCTAAAATCCTCAAATTTCGTGCGCATCACGCGCATTTCTTGTTATGGTAGGCAAATTTCCTCTATAAATTGCACATTTTAGGGAGTTTTGATCAATTCCGACGAAATTAGAATTAAAAACACAAAAACTTTTTACGCGCTTTGCACGCATTTACTAGGGTTTTTTAGGGTTATCCTTTTAAGTTATTTAAACACATAATAGTCCCAAACTCAAGAAAGAAAAAATTAAGATAGATCGTTTTAACTTAAAAGGACCTCAATGTGTATTGATGGTGAAAGAATATGTTTGTAATAAATAAAACCATGATGAAAATGCTTATATTTAGTTTCAAACACACGTGTGTGGCCTATATTATAAATAAGATAAGCCCTACAGTATGTCGTATTGTTTTCTATATGGGGAGGGGGATGGGGTGGGTATGATAAATTACTAACCGGGAAAATTATTACCTTTTCCCCCACCCCCCTGACCCAAGACCCCTGTTACGCTCCTGGCTAGCTTAAACCTTGATAGCGCATAATACATGGTCGATATGCGCTGTACAGAAAACAAAATAAGCAAAATATATTCTAGTAGGTTAGATGAGACGTTTTTTTAAACCTTGTTTCTTGGACTTGCTTTTTAACATCGTCAGAGGGTGGAAAAAAGGGTGGTTTTCTTATTTAGCAAATAGTTTTAGCAGAAACATCCAGGAGGAGAAGAAAATAAAAATAAAATTTTAGTGGTAAATGTAAACAATGTAGTAATGGGATAGTTTAATGTTTCAAATTTATTAGGAAGAAATATACATAATCTTATTTTTGGAGGATTTCAAGGAAGCAGGGAGCTTAATAAAAATAAAGACAAACTTATTTTTTTTCAGAAATTTCCATTTATTTGTGGCGGCGGTATGCTAAGTAGCCAAAAATAAAATTGTATTTTTATTCGTAATCAACATTATCGGCGGATAGCAGGTTCACTAAACAAGGTACAAAGAAAGTCTAGCCTCAACTAAACTAACCATGCTAAAATAAATAACTGAAACAGACTATCGCAGAGGAACCAACAATACCGCACTGTTCACCTGCAATTTGAGACCACCGACAAGCAGTGGTTAGCAGGTACACGACTCACAGGTGCTCGAATAGAGTTTGCATCTGGCCTACAGTACAGTAGCCTTTCCTAAACACATAGTTACCAACCGTCTCGCATCGTGCGGGACGGTCCCGCATTTCAAAGTGATTTTTGATGAAACACGCATTTTGCAGAAACACATGCGTGATCATAAATTTGTCACGCATTTAGCACAAGTCTATGTGTGATAACGAATTCAGGGGAAAATGTATTTAAAATTAGAAGAAACTGGTTTTATTAAATGTATAAAGAAGGTGATGCAGTAGCTTGAGTCAATAGAGAGCTTTCGTTATCTCGTTTGAGAACCTACTCAGCAGGCTAAATTTCTCTTCCCCGACCAAAACAACCCAGCCGGTCAACCACGCTCTTAATAGAATTTAGTCGCGTGCCGTCTTGCGCGTTCATTGTCACAACCAACTGTTGATGTGACTGGAACCGCCCCTAGAAACCCAGGGCCCTGGTGCCCTTCTCCTCCCCGCCCCACTTAACTGGTGTAGTCACGCATTTCGAATCTCTCAGGTGGGTAAATATGTAAACAACAAAAGTTAAAATTAACAGAAAACAGATTAAAAAGTTCAAGGAAAAGGTGTGATTTAAGGCTCTGCTTGAAAAAAGATAGCAAGGAAGACTCTTGAAAGTATGGGGAAAAAGTATTCACAAAATAGACATGATTTGTATGTGTTCTGGTCATAAAATTGAATGATACTGTAAAAATCTTGTTCTTTTGATCCAATTGACACGTTTATAGGTTTTAATTATACTTACTGTAAAAACATCCTCAAGTATATTGTCAGATAAAATATATAGCCAAATATAATAAAAATATCACAATTGAAAAATAGCAGTATTAAAATGGGATGTTACCAACCTAAGTTTTATAAATAGCTCTATCATCCTTTGTTAGGGAAAAAAAATGTCACTATCTCTTGATCCGATATTCATTTTGAACGTTGTTTTATATACCACCCAAGGCAACAATCTGTATATTAGACCCTTAACAACGTTCACAATATCAAACCTCGGGCAACCATCGGTTTCTATTAAGAAATTACTTCATAACGTTTCAACTAGATTTATGAACTGAAGTCAGTAGGTTAGTGAAAGAATATAGATAGTGCCAACATTAGATTAAGTATATTTCTGAAATATGAAACAGTAATTTACTCTAAAATTCAAATAAAAATAATTTGAAAATTATCAAAACTATCTTATAAAATGTATGTCATGGTAATGCGAATCTTGTTTTTGACTGATAACAGTTGGTAAACACATCTAAATTTCACCAGTACATATTTGGTAAAATCGAGTGCGTAGATAAATGATGTCTGTAGAAGCTATGAAATATTATGGAAAGGCCACTGAATGTTACATGTGCTTTATCACTAACAGCATTTGGTGGTCATGTTTACGGTATATTTTCTCTTTATTGGCAACAACTTGCGCCGAGTCAAATTTCAAATTTCAGGAAAAAATTTTACATGCCGTAAGTGCTGTAGTTCTTAAAAATGAGCAAATTAAACAATTTTATTTTAATTTTTAAGGTTTTCCCTAATGTGCTGGCAGAATATTGTTTGTTTTTTCACCTGAATTTTATGACAGACTTTTTTTCTTAATTGAACACTAAGTCAAACCTCATATTTTGCCAACAAATCTGGTTCCAGGCAGGGTCATATTTTGTAGTTTCTCAGGCAAATGTTTACCCCCTCCCCTATTTTCAACATTGTATGCCTATTTTAAAGATTTTTTTCCTGAAAGTTATTTGTGAAAGACAGCTGAACTACTCACACTAAAGTATCCTTGGCTTTTACCCAAGGAAAGGCTGGTATGTAAAGTTGGGCATAAAGTTAGGGGGTGGGTATATCAGGGGTGGGCTTATAACCGAAGAACTATGGTAACAGCACATAGAGGTCTCTATGATATGCGCTCTATAATTCGACCATTATTATTAATAGGAAATGATTCATCTTTATTATGTTGTTATTCTGTCAACTGTACCTCTTTGATGCAGAACTATTGGAATCTGGACTAGAACTTCTTCTAAATTAGAGTCGTAAATAATCACATACCAAAACTGATGGTGTATGCAGCAAACAGGAAACAGAACTACTTGGGATGGCAATTCAACTTGGAAGTTGATTTAGCTTTAATAATCAAAATAATTATAAATTCGGGAAACCACTAAAACTTTAGAATGATACAGTTTGAGCCTTTACAGTAAATAACGGACATGGAATGTGTGTAATCGCCCGATGTGGGCCTCATATTAACTTTTTTCAGATATTTATGGTTTAAAATCGGTCTAAATTAATGTTTATGAGAATATGTTGTAATGGTAATATTTTAAACTTTTTTTTTTATTGTGATCAGAGTGAGATGCGAGTAAACTTTGCATATGATTTGACAAAAATTGCCAAAGACTTCACGCTAAGGTCGATCGTTAAAGTCATAATTTGGGAAGCCATAAATCTGAGGTTCAACTGTACTGTTATTAATGGTACTTGAAATAATTTTTACATGCGATTGTAGCTAACAGTTCAATGGATGATTCTTCTAGGTGATAACATTATTAAACATGATGTTTGATGTCATTTCAACAACTTGATAGCAATTTGACTTGAAGGCTGAAAACATATCTAGCAGTTTGGTATGTAGGTCGCTGGCAAACGATAGAACCTAGAATACGCATGTTACTGGGAACATAACACAGCATGATATAACCAACCTACTTTTAACAGACTTCTAACAGGTAACCTCTATCACTTCTAACATCGATACAATTATAATCAGATGTAAATGTAATTCAATATAATTTAACATTATTATACAGAATTTAAACTGGCATCATTTTAAGTGATAATAATTTAGTATAAGATTAATGCTGTCAATCAACGGTTTATATACCATAAGCAAACATTTAAGAGAGCGGACAATTGCTTCCTTCAAGTTTATGACATGAACTTAACTGAATAAAAAATGAATTCATAATTATTAACTTTATGGAAGCACATTTTGAAACTACAAATAAAGCCACATTGTATGTTTTCCAAGAGCTAACAACAACTTATTATAACAAATATGACATGCCGACAATAAAACTTAAATTAAAATATTAAACAAATACTATTTTGTACACTATATTAATTGCTGCATGCTATCAAATGAAATTGTTGCATGCTATCAAATGAAATGCTCCTTTATAAGTATGTTTTCTATGCACCCACATGCACAAACATTTTATTGATTATGATTCAACCTACAGAATATTTATGATTAATATTTCAGAGTGGGTAGATTTTCTGAGTAAGGTATATACTGTAGCTTATAATAACAATCCTATGATAGGCAGAATTCTGGATTTTCTATCCCAAGTAAAAATAATTGCTTTCCTTTAACCCTCATTAGACTTTCTGTATACCCAATTAGCATAAAACAAAATGTATACTATAAAATAATTAAACACATTTTTATAGACTTACTGTATACCCAATTAGCATAAAACAAAATGCATACTATAAAGTAATTAAACAAATTTTTATAGAATTAAGTGTAAATCAGAGGTGAGTTTGTTGTTGAACGAGAATAAAAAAAATTTCAGTAATTTTCATATGCACTATAGACAAATTACTGCACAAAGAAGTCATGAGGCCTAAACAGAGCAAAGGGTAATTTTAATGCGCTAAATACTAAATACCAATGGTAGACTAGGTTATGTCAATTTTTTTTTGGATTCATTTACACATTTAGCCAAGAGAAAATATAGAACAACTTATGAGTATTAAATCACACTTTTTTAAAGAATAAGTCACTTCTTTTTGACCCAGCAGACAGGAACAATTGTGACATGATTTCAAAATCACATTAAATATCAAGTAATGATGTCCCAATTGGCGTATAAAATAATCAATCAAATATTTTTTTTATTAGGTTTGAAAGACATCTGTGATGAATACAAACATCCAATAAAATGATGAAAACAAGTTCATTGCTAAATCACACATTTTACAAAAACAAAAAATCCTCAAAATTAATTACCAACCAATTTAAGTGTCTATGGCAAGGCCTATAGGAAATGTAGGCCTACTATTTACTGTCTGCCAATTAATGGGGGAACATTTCTTCTCGTGAAATGTATAATTAATACTTAATTTATAAAATAGGCAATTCAAATATAATTTTCTTTAGACTCATGAACGAAGAACATCTTTTAGTTATTCCAATAGCTTTTAAACAAAAACTGGGAAAAATGTTTTTCTCAATATACTGCTGCAGACCCTAACAATAAGCTTTGTGTCCATGGATATTGATATAACTATGTAATATTTTTACTAGTAAATATTGTAATATTTAAATTTTTGAGGTTATTTCCCTTAATTTCACTATAGAAACTCGTGTATCATAAATAAGCAAGTCATTCTACAGTCAAAACTGTATGATGATGAGTTGATGAAAAATTGAAAGCTATCCAAAAACACCACTCCAATAGAAGATAGATGTTTACTTTCGCTTAAACATGTACTTAATATTGACACTTTATAACTTTCAACTTTGCTTTAATTGACCCAGATTTAGCGTAGAGTACATTAGCTTTCGGATTAATAAAAGCACCAATTTCTTTGTATCCAGTAAATAACACGCCCTTAAAAAAAGTACAAGTCTTTTGCATAAATACCACTACTAATTTTATAATTTTATCATAATAGAATTAATGGTTTTACAATACAATATTTTTTTACAATTACTTTTGCAATCCATCTGACTATTCACTGTGGATATATACAGTTTTCTTTATTAAGTCGATGAAATGGTATTTGTCAGAGAATCCTTTTAATTTGATGATTTTAATATTAAAGTATTGTTGAAAAACAATGGAAAGTACAAAGTGAATAAAAAAAAATATAAGAAAAGAATATAAAATAAAATAAAGAAAAAGAATTACTTACTAAAAACTGAATGGCAGTCTGAAGATTTTGGTTTGATTTCTATATGGGAAGAAAGATACAATTTTATTTATAATGTAACGATCATTAATGAAACATAAACAGAAGTAGAACGATAGATAGTGTAAAAGAGTGTCAGAGTTCACTAGTTAATTTTTTCGCATCATTTTTTTTCAACAGAGCCTGAGGAAAAGTGCCAGGCTACTTAGCCCAACACCAAGAACGATGTACTATATAGAAGGATGTCGAAGTTCGCTTTACTCCACATGATCATTTTTTCACATTATCTTTCATCATCCCATCCTAAGGCCCTCGATTGAAATTCTGCAAACGACAGCATATTTTCTAACGATGATTCAAAAACTTGAACCACACCTACTGCAAGACCCAGATAGTGTTAATTCATTCAGTTAAGCCACTAGTCACCGACTGTTGAATGAGAAAGCAATGCTAATAAGGATAAGTGTACTCTTGTAGCTCAATAAATGAATATACTGTAGTCACCAAAAACAACACGGTTTGATCTGATCTATAGTGCTGTAAGACTGAGGACCAATAGCCAAAATAGCCTTTAGTTTTTTTGAGTTTCGCTGTAAAAAATTGATCCAATCTGTTGGTTTATTCAGGCTTGGTCAGTAAAATATGCATGGATATTTAAAATTCATATAGAAATCGAGTCATTACACCACCAGGTGGAACATTTTGGATATTGAATGTACCGTACATAAATTTATAATTTTGTGTTTGGTCTTATAAAAAAAAATCTTTTTATTTGGGATGGTTAAATTCTTTAAATTTATATAATTAGGAAGAAATATAGGTCAACATATCTTATTTTGGAAATTTCAAGGCAGCGGTGGGTGTAATGAAAATTTTAAAAAAACCTTTACCTTTTCTGAAATTTTGGGTGCACTTATTGGCCAAAAATAAAATCGTATTTTTATTTGAGATCATCATTATTGGCAGGTGGCAGGTTCGCTAAACAAGGTATAAAAAAGTCTTGCCTTAAAGCCCCATTCCCGGCAAAATTTCACTAAAAACTGACTCCAATTAAAAAAACTCCAATTATTATAAATCATGGAAAAATATTGGCATGAATTTTAGTTTTACGCAAAAGAATAAAAAAAAATGAGAAATACAGACTATTTCTCATAAAATATTACCATTTTCTCCACGAATTCATCGTTACTAGGCAAATTCAGAGGTTGTAGATCGCATCCAATGGAATACTCTCGCTTTTATGTATACTTTATACAGTCAATAAAATGCGCCCTCTCTAATAAGATTAGTTTTTGTACTTCGCATCTCGCACAATGCGGTCGTTCGGTTAGGCTGAGATATGTTTTTTTAAGTGTCAAAATCTCAGTCAGAATCAGTTTTTTAACAAATTTGAAATAATTCCTATGAAATATTATATTTCACA